GAGCAAAAGGCCTGTTGCTGACTTTGATTTTTTCTTTTCAGATATTGTCCCCACTTTCAGATGCTATCTTGGCTGAGAAGACAGTGACAGTTCTGGATGAGAAGGTGACAATAACTGACCTGGGAGTGCAGCTGGTAACTGGATTGTCGCTTTCTCTGCAGCTCAGTCCGGGAAGCAATAAGGCCATCTTTGCTACAGCAGTAGCACAAGAGCTGCTCCAGGCTCCAAAACAGGTAATGTTGACCAGATGTGTCCTGTATTCCAGTGTTCTGATTCACTATGCAGCCTCCAAACTGGTGAGATGAGCCAGACTGTAGATAATAGTGTGGTAATAAAACATTTGCTTTATAGGCACTTGTGTCCGAAGGCCACCAGGTGCCCTAATAAAAAGCAAAGATCTCATAAAAATGGCAACGCATGTATACAACTGAGTCCACGAGTCAACAAATTAACTTGGCTCATCTCTCCTGACTGCATCCTGTAAATAAGATGAAGTTCTACACACAGCTCAATGATATGTCATAAATAAGGAACAGAACACACATACACACACTTTTGTCCCAACCAGCACCTACCAGACCGGAGGAATTATTGTTAACTCTGTTGCTGAGATCAGCCTCCCACCACAGGCAACCAAATCAAACCTTTATGTCCATCTTTACATGAGAAGGTTGTTTTGCACAGTGCCCAACTCTCCTTCACTTATTTACTTTCTGTAAGCATTTTAAAAGTTGGGAAACATCCCATGCATTCTGATTCATAACCAAAATATGAATCAGAATCATTGACTCATTTCATGATTCACGATTTCATAAATCAGGAGTTTTTTATCTGTTACTCCTAGCTCCTTTCACAGGGATCACTTTCACAGAAGAATCCGACCCAAATCCATCAGTCAGGAACTTACATCAAGGATGTCCTGGGTGCTTAATGCTTATGCATGTTCTGATCTTTAAAGGTAAATGAGCAGGGCACAGATATTTGAAATCTGGCCAACTGTTGAGATGCTTTAATTCATCATAGGGTCTTATCCTCAGGGTGAGGGATGAGAAATAATGCAGAACTGCTGTTTTTATAGGGTGATAAAGATCAGACTGCCATAGTCTTCCAAGAGTTAAGAAACAAATACCGCACAGCTAGAAGTAAAGCCATTGAGCTAATACATTGCCGACATGGGGAGTTAAACAAACTACTTTGAAATCAGCCCAAAAGCTCAGTTTGATGGCATTTAGTCCTAGCATGCTGCCCAGCTATGACATTTCAGTCTCCAGAAGCAGAGTCTGTATGAATCCCTCCCTGGATGCTGGGGTACAACTGAGTCCCCATCCAATCTGAATTAAACCAGCAAGGAAAATGCGCATCCTCCACTCTTTATGGATTGTTTCAGCTTTGATCCACATCGGATTCCTTCCATTGCTTAGCACACAGTTTTCAGACCACAATCCTTATAAGCAGAGCAATGCAAAATTATTAAATGATTATGTAGGTTTAAGCAGCACAGCGGGAGGATGAAAGTTGATGTCATAAATTCTATGCGGCCTTCAAGAAACATCCAAAGATTAATAAACACAAAGCCGAGATTTATGACAGTGTCAGCAAAGTCTTAGGGCTCAGTCCTGAAATAGAGACACAGGCAAATCTCCCACTGAAGCCCTGGAAGCTTTATGGCTGTAAGGATTTTAGAATCAGGCCAGCAGATTATACAGGACACCCATCCTTTGTGTTCTGAACAGGTGAACCGCTATGTTCTAAAAATGAGTTAAAAGATAATGACAAGTATTCTTTTTATGTATGTGGAGTTAAAATGTAAAAGTAGTCTGTTTGAAACCTTTTTTTATTTAGGAAACCAGACTCATATAAACTTTCTGAAATTGTAGTTGTGTGTTTGCTAGTCGGGCTGTCCTGCAGAGCAGTGCAATCCCAACTCTGGCTGGACAAAAGTTCACTTCATTTTAGACATCAGAGAATCCCCTCACCTCACCAGGGGTCACCCTCTGTGGATTTGCCAGCGTCTGATAAAATGAAAATATCTCAGTGAGTCGGAGAGATCCAGACTGTCAGGAGCACGAATTTGAATCCAAATCCAAAAGCTACCTGCGTGTTGCCTGTAAATGCCAAGATCTTTTCAGGTAGCGTGTAAAATTTTGATAGTCATTTGAAAGTCCTTAGAAGGCCTCATTTTCAGAAACTGGTAAGCTCATGTTCTCTGGAATCTAAAAATTCTTTAAAAAGTCTCATTTTAAAAAATTGCAGAAATTCTGCATCCTTATGCCTATGCATATATGTAAGTAGTGTCCAAGTCTGACCCCTTTATAGTTAGTAAACATCTATGGATTCTGAAGGATACAAGGTGATGCAAAATTAAGCTTCATTGCTGTCTTGCTTTCAATTACTAGCAGCCTTGAAAATCACGAGGGCCATTTGCTAAAAAAGCAAGCAATCTACTTCCTCTTTTTGTACAAAACAGTTATTTCATTTGAGAGACAAAAATCCAGGGTAGAAGGCATGTGTGGGCTTTGCAGGAGTACGTATTTTTTAAAAGGCCTTGTGTGTAACAAGAGGAGACTTTATATTTTAAGCCATTTAGAAATAATGTAATGTATTTTTTCATTTAAATATACAACAGTAAATGATCTCAGTAGCTGGTAATACCTTTTGACATGCAATTTATTATGGTGCTGAAGTAGATTCTGTAGAGCCCAGGGGAGACAACCCCTTCTAGCACCTTTGGGAAAACAAATCTTCTTTTCAATGGGTGTTTTCAACTAGCATTTCTTTTGACATCTTGGCAAGAAATTAATTTTCTTGCTCTACCTTTTTATTTTGTTTCCGGTTATAAATGGCATATGGGTCTTGTGGGGAGGAGGGAACAGACCAGGACAGAACGTATTTCCTTCAGTGTTTATTCTGAGAATGTATATATTTGTTCTATATATAACAGGAAGCGGCCATCAGCTGCTGGATCCAGTTCAGTGATGGCTCTGTCATGCCCCTGGATATTTATGACTCCAAAGACTTCTCCTTATCAGCTACATCTCTGGATGAGAAAGTGGTCTCCATTCACCATGACCCCAAATTCAAGTGGCCTGTGATTGCTGCAGAGACAGAAGGCCAAGGAACACTGGTGAAGGTGGAGATGGTGATCAGTGAATCATGCCAGAAATCCAAAAGGAAGAGCATCCTGGCTGTTGGGAGTGGTAGCATTAAAGTCAAATTTGGGCAGAGCGATGCCAACCCTAACATAAGCGATAGTAAACACAGAGGAGCTGGTGTCCATCTAGAAAATCATGCTAGTGACCGGCGTCAGAAAACCACACTGCAGGAAAGAGCTGGGCCAGATGGTCAGTATTATAGTTCCTCAATGGGCCAAGGGCAAGGCAAATGGACCACCACTCAAAAGTCTATTTTAAGTAAAAAGGAAGACAGAGAAAGCCTTCTGGATGATGACAGTCATCTGCAAAACATCCCAATAGATTTCACAAGCTTCCCTGCCCAGGTAGATCTGCCGAGAAGCAATGGAGATTTGGAAGAAAATGATCTAGTCCAAACTCCCAGGGGACTCAGCGATCTGGAGATAGGAATGTATGCTCTGCTAGGAGTCTTTTGTCTGGCAATTCTGGTCTTCCTTATCAATTGTGTCACTTTTGCTTTGAAGTACAGACATAAACAAGCTCCCTTTGAAGAGCAAGAGGGTATGAGCCACTCTCACGACTGGGTTGGACTGAGCAATAGGACGGAGCTTCTGGAGAATCACATAAACTTCTCATCCCAACAAGAAGAACATATCACAGCCATTGACAGAGGAGTGGAGTATGAAGAGAGCAAATATCTCCTCAACACAAATGCCCCCCAGAATATTAATGGACAAGCTTTTAGGTCTACTGAGTCCACATTCACCGAAGGGAAAGAACAGAAAAGTGAACCAACCACTTCTCCTACCTCTAAGAGGAAACGGGTTAAATTCACCACTTTTACCACCATCTCCTCTGATGATGGGTGTCCAACTGTCAACTCAATCTTGATGAGCAGTGAGGATGATATTAAATGGGTCTGCCAGGATATGGACCTGGGGGAATGCAAAGAACTAAAAAACTATATGGAGAGATTACATGAAAATGTGTAATGAGATACAAAAGACCTTTTTTGTTTGGTTTGGTTTTTTGATTTTTCACTCACCTTCTGCCTTTAATTTTGGGTAGTGGGGTAAAATGTTGCATTGATAAGAAGAATCAGATCGTGGATAGTAACTCAATGAAGCCCCGAGAAGCCACCCAAAAGCAGCTGGGAGAACAGAGATCCTGGGCAACTCTTACAATTCTAGTCTTCTCTGTGCTCAGAGACGAAAGTGAGAGATGTGTGAGGTTTTTTGATGCATGGTAACATGAAAAAAAAAACTTAGCACAATAATCAGATCTCATTCTCTGAGCTTTCCCAGGAAATCAATAAAAATAACAAACTCCAGTGCAGTTTGGATATTACAAAGTTCACACAGCTCTAGTGTTCAATATTGCAAGCTTTGGTTAAAAGCAAAAAATGGGTCTCAGAATAAATAGATCAACGAAGAAAGCGTGTCGTTCAAGCCACATGCAGAGAATATCTATCCAGGAACATTAATCTAAAGCTGACAAAACCAACAACGTGAACAGAGCACCTGCCGTAGCTGCCAAGTCGTGAGTTTTCCAAAGAATCTTGAGGGGAAAAAGGAGTAACTGGGTGGTTTACAAACCAGCATGTTTGCCTCCCAAGCACTGAGAATGGATACACGTATACAGTTCAAACTGAACCTCTCTTTTTAAGTAGATGCCAAGATAATAAACTTTGCGAGCCAATTTTCGATATTTCTTAATTTGTAAAATAGAAGATGTAATCTATACTCAGAACACCACTTGTGTAAAGGAAGGTCTGTTTTGGAACGTTTGAGAGAACTAAGCTATTTTTAAAAGCCCACTTTCTTTGATTGTCCTGTTTCACATTTGTATTCCCAGTATTTCCCTGGAGCACTTCCCAGTTTGTAGCCTGAGGGCATTTCCTAGCATCCATCAGCTTTGGAAGCGTGGTGGCTTCTTCCTTCCCTTCCCTGGTATGTCATACCCAGCACACTCACTTTGCCACACTGTTTTTCTTGCCAAGTACAGACACTCTTGGTACCACACTGGTACTTGCTTTACATGATGTCATTTACCAAAGTTGGCCACTCTTTTGGGTAAGTGTAACTTGTGCTGAACTCCAACAGCAACTGCCTCTTGGTCCTTCCTCTCTTGGGAGACCTTCTTTTCATCTTCTTTGGTTCCTTCTGCTCATGCTTCTTTAGACCCATGCTCAGCACATTGAGAGGGCACTCGAAGAAGGAGTGCTGCACACCCAAAGTTGTTGAAACCTGAGTAGCTAAACTATGTAGATATTTTTTTCTTCTCCTTCAGGCAATGCTTAGCTTTTATTTCCTTTTGCTAAGGATGTACATATAGTAGGATTTCAGTAATTACCTTTTGAATCTGATGTGCCATCCAACCCTAAAACCATGACATCATTTGTGTGGTCCGAAAGCAGTCTCCAGTGACCAGTGGCAAAGTGTCAAGGCACTAACTAAGATCTGGCTTATATTTCAAATTCTCCTTTATTTTCCAGAGTAAGACCCTGCCCTCCTTTGTTATTAAGTCCCTTTCTGTCTTTGAATCTAGGTTGCTGAGTTTAATACACACCCACTCTCCCACAAACACTTATATTGACTCCATCTATATTTAGAATGTACTGTAGATTGTAAGAATGTAATATATGTATTTATAAAAATGCCAACTGTGAATAAAATTTGCATTTTAGTGGCTTCATCTTTTTTCCTACTCTGAACGCCTCCCTCCTTTCACTGTCAGAACATTTACCCTAAAAGAGTCTGGCAGCAATATGGAAACTTGTCCTTTGATGAAATGGTGAGTTAAGGCTCTTGGCACAACCCAGTTACAAAGTTTTACATTGTACAATGTTGGTGGGAGAAGATATAACACCAACAACATGTTATGAAATATATTTGCATCTAGCCACCCTTCCAAGATTTGGAACTATTTGCAAATAAATCAACATGCGTATTTCTGGTCTGAAAGCTTGACGTGCGAGTTGCTGATTATAGTTTGATTGGAGAGATATACATTTGTGCCAATGCCTTGCTGAGGGCAATTCTAAAAGAGTAAGTTGATGCAAATGGGGCTAAGATAAATATGTCTTTGGAGATCAATTCTTGTGCCTGTGTTGGATACTTAGGACATGTCCATTAACTCCACAGAATCCAAGATAAAGTCTTGCTTTCTTCCAGCACTTCTCATCGGATTTTGGATTGATGATCAGGTAGAGATTCACTGGAGGTGCAAAGAAATATCGTGAGTTTTATTTTTTTTTTTCTTTTAAGTTTTCAACTTATACTCAATAGATGTTCAGCAGACACCCCCACTCTTTGTGGCAATGTCCCAGGTACTAGAGGCCAGGGTAAAGCAAGTTAACTCCCAAACGGTCATTGAGAATGATTTTCTCTACTATAGGACCATATTACTGTAATTCCGGGAAATCATTCCTGGAAAGGCTTGAACAGACAGATGTGTCGTACCTGCAAATCACCAGAAAATCCCTACGGTTGAGCCATCTACCCTGGAGTTTCCTGCTGCAGAACGGACTGTTGACAGCCTGTAATGATCAGGGGTTGGGTCCCTTGAGGGACCTGGCTGCAGGGAGGGGATTTTTGTTTTTGCTGCCCATCATCTCTGAGAATAATGGCACAAAGGCAGGGCTAGAGTAGACTTAATGCATTTTTCTCTCTCTAGCATCTAGTGCTGTGCAGAACAGATGCAATAAAGGAGATGCCTGATGCACCTCTGGTATCCTCGTGGCTTGCATGGGGGTCAGCAAGTTGCTGTTACTTCCTTACAGAAGGAATTATTATTATTATTTCCTTTCCACAAGACTGATGTGCCACTCTGTTCACAAAACCTAAAGTACAGTCCTGCTTCCAATACCTGAGCATTTTGGGTGCCTTTAAATACATCAGTGCATCACATCCACAGAGATTTACATCATGCCAGAGCCAATTCTTCTCCTTTGGAAAGAGCAGGTACAGGTCACTGCCCAGAGCAGGATGTCAGCGAGCCCAGATTCCTGTGTTAGCTGCCTCTGGGGATCATGGAGAACTCACAGCAAGTTCATCTGGTGGAATGATGGTAGCACAAGCCACTGAAATGTTCTCCTAGGACAACACAGCCATCAGCTGCAATGGTAAGAACGCTGACATTTGCGTTTATGCCTTTTTGCTTGCTCAGAGATCCCTGCTGTCTCTAGCAGCTCTAGCTTGATTTATCCCTAGGGCAACAGTATAAATACTACCTAGTACTCAGAGTGCTCCTTCTCCACAGATTTCAAAACACTCTGAGCAAGGTGGATTCCCCACTGACATGGAAAAGGTGGGAGCTAAGTGGATTTGCCCAGAGCCGTGTGGGGAATCTCCGTTGGAAGCAGGCAGAGGCCCCAGCTGCCAATCGTGGTGGCTTGGCCAGAGCACGAGCTCTGCTCGGGGGACGTCGCAGGGCTCGTGGCAGCCTGTGTGCCAGCATCAGGAGGGGTCCGCTCACCTGCTAACGGCAGAGCTGGTCATTAGCTTCCTGCGGAGGGTTTTGTGTGTACCGATACATCCGTATGCTTCCATATAACCACTTTTCTCATGCCCTGTGTGAGACTGCTAAAAATGTGTTTTCATGCTTAATGAAAGTTTCTTTCGGGGAGAGGAAATCAAAACCAACCATCTTCTCTCCGTATCCTTCTAGCTCTGCACGCTATACAATAGGTCTCCAATTCAGCTGGAGTTTCCAGGTGCTCTTGCTGAAGGAATAAGTGTTAATGCAGCTGACCAAGGGTCATTGCTACCAATGCAGGTGTGGCTCAGCCCTTCAACAGCACCAGCCCAGCCTTGCAGGTGAGAGTCCCTCTCCTATAGGGTCTCTCCCCATGAAAGCTCCTATTTCAGGCAGTCAAATGAAGATCCCTCTTAAGCAAATAACAAAGGCTGGATTTTGGTCCATGTCATAAAAGAAGTGACAGTGTTTGGATGCTGCATACATGTAGCATTTTGCAAATGTGACTTCTATTGGCAATCTCCTGAGCTGCTAAAGCTTAGCTGCTTGCAAGCGGGTTCTTCTGTGAGTACTATTAATGATTTTTCATTTTATTTTCCAGTTGCTTTCTTACTGTCATGCTTGAGTTTCTTTTTTATATGACTAGCCTGACTGATAGACTGATACAGGTATTTTTCAACTAAGGGAAATGTGTCTGATGTTGCTTGGTTGATTTTTTTTTCCCTTAGTCTCTATACATTAATACAATGAAGAATAGAAATTTGATAGTCCTGTAATTCAGGTAAGCTGTTTCTTTGCTGTCTTCCCTTATTCCCCATCCTTCAGCTTCCCTTTTAGCAGTTTTAAATATATACTGCTTTAGACCAAGCTGTATTAATACAGCAGTGAACTTGGAGGTCTGAGAGATGTAGCTACATAATTGATTTGGGAACAAGAGGTCTGTAGAGGAAAGTGACTTGAGAGACCCAAAGAGGTATTAAATCAGGGTGCAGCCTGCACTAAGTAGCTCTAGAAACTGCTTTCACACCTCATTTCCATAATGAATGAGATGTAAATGAAAAGAGCACCCTAAAGACACTTTAATTCAGCTCTGTATATGTTCAGCTTCTCCAAGACTGCCCACACTCATTCCCTTGTGGTCTCTGGGGCTGCCTCTTTGAGCAAGAGCTTTAGCAAGAGTAAAGGACTCGTATTCTACAACCCAACAGCCTGTCACAAGTGTCACCAGCAGACAGCGCTGGTTGGACTCACTCGTGTATTGATCAAACAAAATCTCATAAGCATCACTGAGCAATTAGCTCAGGCAAGGAGGTATCATCTCAAAATACGGTGCTTGGAAAATGCCTCAAGCATTTTCAAAAACTGTCAGAGATGAATGTATTTAGTCCTTGAAAACCCAGGAACTCTGTCATGTATTTCTGTATGCTTATTGTTATAATTCCATATTTCTGTCAATGCACAGCTGTAGAGCACTGCAACAACACATGTAGGAATTCATCTTATAGCCTACAGTACAACTTCTACCCCATCCAATTGGTCATGTGCACCTGCTCTGACACACACAGGATCCTCTATCTGTTTGAAGACCAAGAGTCAAAGGCGTGAGCCCTAAAACTAATTCAGATAGAGTTTGCAAGGTCTGGGGGGATAGGTGTGTGTAGTGCTTCCAGGCTATTTCTCACTATCTGAAAACTTACTGCAGGGAGTGCTTTGCACTTGACATCACACATAGGGCTAAGCACCTTTCTGAATGGGTGCTTAACGACCTCATGCATAAATAATGCCTCTTTTTCTGCCCGCGA